TGCTGAAGACACATCAGCGCATACATAGTGGGGAGCGGCCATTTAGATGTGATGTGTGTAATAAGTCATTCAATAAGCTGTGTCTGCTGAAGATACATCAGCGTATACATAGTGGGGACCGGCCATTTAGATGTGATGTATGTAATACGTCATTCAATAAGCAATGTAATCTGAGGAGGCATGAGCGTATACATAGTGAGGAGCGGCCATTTACCTGTGGTGTGTGTAGTAAGACATTCAGAGAGAAGGGTACACTGAAGTCACATCAGCACGTGCATAGTGGGGAGAAGCCATTTAGGTGTGATATATGTCATAAGTCATTTAATCGGCAACGTAATCTGAAGACACATCAGCGCATACATGGTGGGGAGCAGCCATTTGGATGTGATGTATGTAACAAATCATTCAGTCGGCAGAGTTATCTGCAGACACATCAACGCATACACAGTGGGGAGTGGCCATTTAGATGTGATGTATGTAATAAGTTATTCGATCAGGAGAGTAAACTAACAGCACATCAGCGCATACATAGTGGGGAACGGCCATTCACATGTGATGTATGTAATAAGTCATTCAGAGAGCAGACTGCACTGAAGACACATCAACATATACACAGTGGGAAGAAGCCATTTAGATGTGATATATGTAATAAGTCATTTAATCGGCAAAGTAATCTGAAGACACATCAGCGCATACATAGTGGGGAGCGGCCATTTAGATGTGATGTATGTAACAAGTCATTCAGAGAGCAGGGTACACTGAAGACACATCAGCTCGTGCATAGTGGGGAGAAGCCATTTAGGTGTGATATATGTGATAAGTCATTTAATCGGCAAAGTCATCTGAAGAGGCATCAGCGCATACATGTTGATGTATGTAGTAAATCACAGAGCAGTAGTGATGGGTTTTGACTAAGGAACAGTATGTGACATGTAGCATGCCACAGTATTTCATGCTGCAGATAAGACAATTTTTTTACTGTGTGTTGCATGCTGCATGTTTGTGGAATACAAGATATTGGAGTTGTTAATTTTTTCAACTGACGAGAAATGAACTGAGTCCCATGGTACAAACTGTCATTGGATATCAGTGGCCGTTTAATTTTGATTGTTCAATGTGTACAAGACCCTGTCTTGAGTGGAAACAGACATGACATGACATTCTCCTATAGTTATGTTAATTCAGCAGTGGAAGCTAATAATTAGTAGAATTTA